AATGTGCTCACTCAAAAGAAGCTGGAAAGTATCTCCAGTATTGCAATTTACTACTGAAAAGACATTTTTATCTCTTAAAATAACTCTTTGCTATATGACATTGGTTATATGTGTTTGTGTATGTTACACAGTAGTTCCCACATACTTGGAGATGCTGCTTCTACTCACTACTGATGGAGTATAATTTAAAAAAAAGTAAAAATACATATGGACAATGAAAACTAATTAATTATGCTATCCCATCTAATTATGAAATGACAGTCTGGTACAAAAATATTTATCTTGGCCTAAGTAATCTGTGCATTAGCAAAGTCAACAGTAAAAAACTTGAAACATTCATAAGACACAAAAAAGATACAGAAAGAATTTTAATAAACTTAAGAACAACAATGAAAAAAACCCTAACTCTACAGCCATACCCAAAAAGCACAGCAAAACAAAGACAGTTTTTTTTTATCGAAGCATCTCAAATACAGCAGCCCAAGCTCTCTGGAACGCAATTTCAAAATATACTTCAGGAGTAATATTAGAGTGAAGTCTACATTCTCTGGAAGTCAGTAAAAAGGCTGACAGAAAAGATTTGTTGTAGATAAACAGTCACCCTTCTCCTCCTTCCTCTCTCTCTCTCTAGCTCAGATCTGCAGGTACAAGTGCTCTCTCTACAGTGCTAGTTTCTACTCTGGAAGGACCCTGAGTGCACAACCCAGGCTCCATCTGGATATCTGGATAACTGGACACCCATTCTCTGTCAGTGTATTCAGAAATCAAACCCCCTACCTACCAAGAGTGTGGCCCAAGCATCCTGGTTTGATACTGCTTCTGCTAACCAATGGGAAACTAAAACATTGCCACTACTTCACTTTGTCCTTTCATGACTGTCGGCTACCCTGAAATCATACAGAGAATTTACTGGTAGTTGTCCAGGGGCAAAACAGCTACTAGGAATAAAGCAGAATGTCTTGACAGAACCTAATAAGAACTCCTAAAATCAAAGATGCTCAGCAAAGCTCAAAGTCATCTGAAAAGCTCTGGAAGCCAATCACATTATATCAAATCAATCCTTATCAACACCCACAACACCTGTTTATGGCAAACTTGTAGAGAGAAAAATATTTAACACTAATCTTCTTTAAATTCACAACACTGCGAAGTCTACCAGATTAGCGATAATTCCTAAAGACAACTAATGAAACTCAAGACTCAGAATCTTAGTTTTGGTACTTCCCTGCTTTGCAATGATACACATTGTCCAAGACTTCCTACCAGAAGTGTTATTCAGAACTTAACATCTCTTGTACCAGTGAACCAGTTGCTAATAATGGAATAAAAGTAAGTGATTTTTTTTGCCACTACAATTATCCATCCAGAAGCAATGGTTCCACATAGTTTGAGGAACAGTGTATCACAAGATTGACTTTGATCTCAGCACCCTAACTGCTACCATAAAGTAAGATAAGGTAGTAGTTAATTATACAGTGTAGATTTTAACAGCAGTATATTCCCTGCCATCTGCAACAGACACGCAATGCTTAAGAAGTATAATTTTGTAGTAGTACATACAGAAGATTTTCATTCCAAACTAGAATGAAATTTTCCATTTAAAAAAATGTATTTTTAACTTAATTTGCTGAATGAGCCAAAATTGCTTGCAATATAAAGTATTATCTTTGCCCACAAAGCCTCTCACAATATGTAGGGTTTTTATGATAATGAAAGTCCCACTTAAGGAAAAAAATCAATTTTGAGTCCTGCAATTTAGCCAAAGCCATCCCAGGACGCCACTCTGCAATATATTCAAAATTCAGGCCTGTTTATCTTCTGTGTCTCCTTGGAACTGTTCACCAATGGCAGCTCCCCCAGTTTTCCACTTTATATACTAAGCAAAACCACATTGTTATACATAAACTTGCTTTGCCCAGGAAAGAAAGAGCCCTCTCATAACTATAAATGCAATCCCCTAAAATACAGCACTGAACATGACACAGCACAAAACTTACTAATAAATTGATGACACAAAGAAAGTGCTGTGCAATCAGCTGTAGAGAAACTCTGCATAAACAACCTAACAGTAGACATTTGTTCTCCACCCAAAGACCACTTTACTGTATTTCACAATACTTTTTTTTACTAGCTTTCCTACAGAACTCTGCTATATATTCTGATTTGACATGCCTGCTCAAGTAAAAAAAAAAAAAAAAATTAAACAACTACTTACTAACAGTTGAAGTTCACAGAAAAAAATTAAAGTTAAAAAATGAAAAACCTCAACAAACTACTTTCAACTTGTGATAGATTATTTTGTTAATGAAATGTTGTGAAATATTCGAGTTCATGTGACTTGTAACTTCAAAACTATTAAGGAGGTCAGAGAGCAACATAAACCATGCAAAAGTATGCAAAACCTCCTCAGTTTCAGTACACCTTAACACTTAGTGCAAGGCATTATGAAAATATGCAGCGTGTACTAGAAATCTATAACAGTTTTTGTGCATCTTGCATGGAATTCAAGATATTAAAATAATATGCAAAAAGAAAAACAGCTTATTTCAGAGGTTGAAAAAGTACAAGAAATAGGCTAATATTCGTTCAATCATGGTGATTTCAGCCATCTCTTTTTAATCAGTTTTCGAAGTGGAAAACCTTTTCATGGCACATCTGTACCTCTCTGTTTTTAACTAGAGCTTTAGCAATACATCTTCTGTGAAAACAGAAGTGATTGTTGAAGAGATTGTGGCTCAGTAACTCAGCAAAAAATTGAATAATGGCTTTGAATTGCTAAAGTCTTTCACTGGATTGATGAAGATTCTGCAGCCCACAGCTGCAGCAAGCTGGCAGTAATAAATTCTCCATGCATTGCAAACTAAGGATCTGACTACTTCATCCATTTCTAAGTATGTGAAAGCTGGAGGCAAAGCCATTTTACAACTGAATAAATACTTGCTTCTTTCCTTATGGCCTCTAACAGAGGTAGTAGTGTAAAGCCAAACAAGAACAGAACTCCCTGGAGATGCCTGCTGTGAGAAACGTCATAGCATTTCTTCAAGAAATTTAAAAACAATAGCTTAAGGGCAACTTTTTCCATTAGAAATCAAATTATTTTGAAAGAGTCAATATTTATAATAAAGGCCACAGTACAACACATGAATTGAATTACTCATTTTTCAATCCAAATGTACAATACTTGAGTTCAAAATACTTTCCAAAATTTCACATTCATTGTCTGCAAAGACAAACAAAACTTGAGTTTTCTTTCTTGTTATGCCAAGTAAATATATCTTTACACTAACACAATGTGGAATTTATAGTATTTAAGTACAATTACAACAGGGCAGACAAGTCTGTTTTTTTTTTTCTTTCCACACATGCCATAAATCTAAATAAAATTTAGATAGTTAACTTAAACAAGGTCATAATCCTGACTTATTACCCATCTTTGTCATAGTTCCTTGAAGAACAGTCCAAAGTTTCTTTAGAACAGCTATACAGTGCTGTATACAGCTATACAGTAACACTACAGCTATACAGTAACACTTCTTATGCTACCTATGAATGGCAGCTTGTCTCCTGCTCAGTAACTACTTGCCAATTTCAAAAAATCCTATATTTCTGAAAACTCCTAGCTTTCAGAAAAATGTTTCCTGAGCTGTTTCTCCACCAAAATAACAAGTGTATTTATGTATCCTCTATTTCAGTTATCAATTATTTCACAATATGTATACAGGTTTTAGAAACTTATCCTACTAAACCAAAAAATCTGACATGACAGGATTCCTGTCAGGCAATCCTAACAGACAATCCAATTCAATGAAAGCATTGATTCTACAAACCTAAGCAATAAGAAAAAATTAGTGGCAATCACAGGTGGGCTTCACAGAAGATGAAAAAGTCACAAAAGTGCAAGAAAAGGGCATTTGCAACCCTAAGTGAGAACTTTCTGTGTGCATAACGTAGAACATAGAATTTGTCAACACGGGCTTTGATTAGGAAAAAGGGTCTTCCTTGAACACAAGTGATAGGAATAGACAAGAGTTTATCATTGGCCTAAGTAAGGTTCAGTATGGATCCCTAAATAAGGATAGATTCAAAAACACTTTGAATCATTGGAGACTTCTTACTAGAACATTTGCAACTCTCAGAGCCATAAGTGAAGCCCAGGGGATGTACTGTCTGTGCGTCCACAGAGGACGTGACATCAATGGTTGCATTTACTCCTTTTGATTCAAAGTATTCCACACAAAGATGGAAGGAGCTGATACACCAGCATTACTTGAGCATTTTTAATGTACATTTCAGTCCTTCAAAATGGTACACAGACAGAACACCACCTGTGCCTTCACAATGAATACCGGCATAATTAGAAAATCTGTATTTTTGAAACACAGGTAAAATTTAGATATAAAGAACAAATACTAAGATACAATAAAGCTATCATAACTAACATAAATACAAAAGCTTTAGGCAGACACTGGCCCTACATCCAGTATCTGCCTAAAGCTTTCCATAGTGTACTGCAGGAAAAAGTATTTGATTGAATCCATGTGACACTACAAACATCCTACTGAAGTTAAAATCTGATAAGCTTTGTATGGGGCTCAGAAACACCCCAGAATGTCTCCACTAAATCAACTACCAGCAAAAGTAATGTATTGCTGAAAAGGATTTATGAATCCTTGGGAGGCTCATTAAATTTTCATAGCTGAATGAAAAAAGATTTCCATCACCTTCTTTAAGAAATCAGAGATAAAATAAAATGACCAGATTTTCCCATTTCCACATCACATCCAAAAGATCCACGCACAGAACTTTGCTTGAACAATAGAAAATCAAAATAAAATACTCCTTAAAAGACTGCATTTTGCAAATAGTGGTGTACACAATAATAAAAGCATGGCTTTCTATCATAAAGACACCACGAGACACAGCTATGACTACTAATGTGTGAAGGTCAGCCCAGATATGCTTCAGTGGCTGACTTTTATTTTAGGGATAAAATTCCTTACCTTGAAAAGACTGCTTGGCTCTGTCCACCAGTTCTTCAATAGGATAACTTGCTAGATCTCCTCTGGCATGCTTTGTTTTACAGTAGGTACATGCATTGAGACACCTGTTCAGAAAATGAAAACACTCAGTTTCTAGCAAGGAAGGCATTTATATGCACAGCTGTATTTATTAAGTACCTCTGGAAAAGTGAGTTTTTATATCTATGACCAGAAAACAGTACTATTCCATTTTTAAATCAATGGAATAGTTTGAAAAATGTTTTGCTGTCCTAACTTCTTAAAGCATCTTTCATATGTATATGAAACTTTGAAAAACAATCAGTAGGAAACACATACAAAACCTGAGTGGGAATTTAAATATTTTTTAGAAAGGTATAATCGGGTTAATAATTTTTTATCACTAAAGATCAATCTCCAGTTTTCCGATCACTCTATTACATAAAAAACCCAACCTGAACAAAAAAGTAAGGGTAAAAAGTCCTGAAAGGCTGAAAGTAGATTTTTCAAAGTGTTTACACTTGAAAATTAATTTTCCTTTGGTTTGTATAAATAGAACAAACAATGCAATGAAGACAGAATCATCAACTAGATAGACAGTTTGGCACAAAAGACTGAGGAACTAATGAAAACTCCTAGAAGAAAACAAAGGAATAATATGATTGTTTTTAATTTACCTGACAATATCCTAAAGGCAGACTAATTCAGAATACAAGGACAGAAAGACCAAAACCAACAAAAACTACCTCTCATCATAAGCCTGCTGTGCTTTTTTTCCTTACTCCCCTTCCTAGAGCTGATATTGTTCTAGCTTTTTATAAGTTAATGCTTTTAAACCTAAGCCCTAAAAACCTCACAGAGTACCAAAAAATCATTATAAATATTTCTGTTGTTCATGCTTACTAGAATACCATGATTTCTGTCCATTTTCACAATAAAAAGGCCGCAGCTTCATAAAATCATACAATCTTTAAGGCTGAAAGAGACCTCCAAGATCATCAAGTCCTGCATTTGACCAATCCCCACTGCATCAAATAAATCATGGCACTAAGTGTTACATTCATTTCTTGAACACTTCCAAGAATGGAGACTCGACCACTTCCCAGGGCAGCCTGTTTCAATGCCTGGCCACACCTTCAATGAAGTTCTTCCTGATGTCCATCACAGCTTGAGGCCACTTCCTCCTGCCCAGTCACTGGTTGCCTGTCACGGGACCTCCACTTGGTCACTAGGCATCTCTAGAGTGTGATAAGGTCTCCCCTCAGCCTCCTTTTCTCCAGCCTAAACAGCCCCAGCTCCCTCAGCTGCTCCTCATCAGACATGTGCTCCAGACCCTTCTCCAGCTCCATTGCCCTTCTCTGGACATGCTCCAGCGCCTCAATCTCCTCCTTGAAGTGAGAAGTCCAGAACTGAACACAGATTTAAGGTGTGGCCTCAACAATGCTGCATACAGGGGGACAATCACTGCCCTGGTCCTGCTGGCCATGCTATTGCTGATACAGGCCAGGGTGCACTGGCCCTCTTGGCCTTCAGTGACTGTGAACCAGCATCCCCAGGTGCTTTCTCACAGGACAGTGTTCTGTCCATTCTTCCCTCAGCCTGTTGCAATCCAAGTGCAGGACCCAGCATTTGGCCTTTTTGAAATTCATATGACTGGCCTTGACCTATCAACCCAGCCTGTTCAGCTCCCTCCAGCAGATCCATACCCCAGCCCAACTTTAGTGTCATCTGCAGACTTACTGAGCATGCACTTGATCCCCTCATTAATAAAGATATTAACCAGGACAAGAAAACATTTAGGTACCAGAAAAGGAAAATGTTCCAACTACAGCATAGTTAGAACTAATACCATAGAACTTTCAAAACAATACCAAAAAGGCAAAGATAGCACAGGGTGGGTTCTGATGAAGTCATCAGCCCCAAGATTGTGTTTACTACTTGGATATATCTTGTCTTCAATGATGATGTCTGGCATCTCCATGACTAGGTGACTAGTGCTTTGCAAACTCCAAAGGTTCTTCTTCACAAAAACTCCCCTCACATGTTAGTTCTGCTTCATTTGCATAAGCAGGGGTTCAAGAAGGGCAGAACACTGCCCAGAACATTTGCACAGTTGCCCTTCTGCTACTGCACATCCCTCAGCCCCAAGACCTTCTCCATTCAACAGAATCTTAAGTTCTGCAAGAGAACATTTAGGCAGTTTGTGATTCTGTCTGGATATTATTTGTTGGGCCTATCAGACCAAAACATCAGATTTTAATATTCACCTCAGATCAAAAAACTAAAATATACTGCTTAACAGCTGCAATCAAACTGTTTTATTAACTAAAAATGTATATGAAAAAGGTTGCCAGTAAAATATTCAACTGGCTAGTAAAAATCAAAAAAAATCCCTAAAGCTGAATCTTTACAGCCTGCTCCAAATAAGTGATTCATTGCCACCCGAACACAACTAATTCATCAGATGTATCTCACCTTTCTTCTGCAAATCAAAAGCCTTCCATTACACAGGACCAGAAGCATGTGTAAAAGGTAGCACTTGAAATAGAGAAAGTATAAGCAGATAATTGGTCTTTGTACTTTGTCTGTGCAACCTACACAACAAATGAAAATGTTTTTCTTCTAGGTCACTGTTATCTAAGGTGTGCCATGAATGGCTTTCAATCAAAGCCCACGGGTACTTCTTTCTCTAGATACTTACTTCCCTTATGCAAAGCATGTCTTCCTCCTATTTTTTTCTTTTCTCAATTTTCTTTTTTGTTAGTTTGTTTTTAAAGCACAACTCTCCATTCAGCCCAACAGTTCATTTCTAAGTATGCTCCCATCCCAACATACCACTGTGACACACTCCTCTCCGTCCACATCATTCATTCTGCTAAACCAGCCTTTTTCCAGACAGCTACACAGAGAAAAAGCATTACAGAGCAGTCAAGGGAACATTAAATCTGTTTCTGAATGAATATGTCTACCCTTTTGGAACCAAAACACAAAAGGTGTGATATTATGTACTAAACTTTTTACTATACTAACCTTTGTTTTCTCCAAGAAAATAAAATTACCAGCTATTTTATCAAACTTCTCAGGTCAAGAAGAGATTTTACTACAACAATCCTGCCCCTTGAACAGCAGGTTACTTTAACACTGGCTTTTTCACTCAGAGAAGAGAATTCTGTCAGTCAACAGTAACAAAGGGATGCATCAATATTTTTTCTCTTGGGATAAAGTAAATTTATTGGACACAAATTTAGGTTTGGATTTGGGGAAAAAAAAAACAACACAGGAGAAAATGCAACAACAGCTTTCATAATTTCTTAAAATTAGCAAATTCTGCCTTAAGAGTTCCAACAAAAACTTTATCACAAATTTTTTGTTGCTTTGAACTGTAACCCTGAATGAAGACAATGCTTTTTGTAGACCTTCAAGTGTGTCCATCCATCCTAAGATTGATAAAAACTTTAATATTAGTAAGTTATTTTTAAAAACTTCTAAGCTTACTCCTGTGTAATAGTTCTAAATATATATAAAATCTAAAGTGGTGTTGAGGTACAATAAAACTGATAATTTATGCTATATACATAGAATTTCTCTGTTCCCTCACCATGTATAGTGCATCCATAAAATATACCATGCCACCTCTTTCTCTCCTCTCCTCATATATTTATATATATTATAAATCAGATACATTTCTTACTGTATATTTTACTCTGTGTTTGGGTAGCAGTATTTGAAAAGCTTTACAGTAAAAATAGTAAACACTAAAAGTGTTAAGTACTATGCAACAGTGCCAAATACTGAAATTATCAATCTCCAAACCTTGAGCATAATTTTCACTTCTTCAATCAATGCTCTTGTCCTACAAGACTGTGCTACAGGAAAAAATGCAGTAACAGCAGCTCTTCTATGATATTTCAGTAAACTCTGTCATAAAGACAGCATGGAAATATGGAGAAAGAAGCACAAATAAAGAAGAAGAAGATATTTTCCAAATATTCACAGTATTATGACATTTGCCAATGCTTTCACAATATTATATTTTCCAAATATTCACTGTAGTATGTAGTATTGCTTCCAAGACATTTATTACTATGATCTTTAAGTACAACTTCAGAGGGTTTGTTGATTTATTTTGGGGTAGGAGCTGAAAGTTGGTACTTGGAGGCAAACTTTTTTCAAATCTTGTTGTTGTAAGTAACTTACTCCTTCTATAAAAAAAAAGTATTCGACACATCTAAATTAGGTTTTCACTTTTTTGGTACTTAAAGAGATGATACAACAAAACCAGAAAGAGACAGATTTAGATGTAACATAAAAAAAAGGATCAGTTTTAGAAAGCAAATTAAAGGAGACAAAACTTCTATATTCTGTTTGTAGTATATTTGTTAATAGCAACTTGGAAAAGGAAATCATCTTCTGAGCTACAACTGACCAACAAAAGGATTCAGATTTAAACTACTTGTAAAACTGCTGAACTAACCACTTTTCATAGATATAAGGATTAGCAATTCTTGAAAATACAAATTTAAAACAAACCGTAAGTATAATCAATGATCTGTAGTGGTTTCTTCCCTAGTAAGCCAGCCACCTCTCCAAGTTTCCAGCATAACAAATTACTCTTATGTCCATGCTGCCACATACTCAGACCACAGACAAACAAGTGGAAAAAGGCTTTTTGGAACTGAGAATCTGAGCGCTGCCTCTTACTTAGGGGCATCCACTACCAAGTGGATCACCTAAAACCAACAGCTCCTTAAAAACTAGCCTTTACCACAGCTGTAGCTCAAATACATAGGACTAAACAACCAAGCCAGTACTTGCAAAAGAGTATTTAGAGTATTTGCTTTTTTTTAAAGTGGGAGCATTCTTGAAGCATTCATAGGTGGTTTGCAAATGTTAGTTTGTATTAATGCAGGTCAAAGCTTTTTTTTTTTTTTTCCCCCCCATGAAGAAATTACAGACATTTGTAGAAAACAGTAAGTCCTGATTTTCCAATATACTAAACTGATTAAGGTACTTTGAATTATTAACCTTTTGCTTTGAATTATTAACTTTTAATCAGCTATGTGCTCAATACACAGAACTATTCACAGCAATATAAAGTATTATCCAC